TATCTACTTTAGAAACATTTTGCAAATTGCACTGCAAAATCAGAGTCACTACTTCACTTTCATAGAAACTATTGTCCTAAATTTTCTCTGTATACAAAGCTCTGTCCCTTCCTCCTAACCCCTCTGCCATGGAGTTGGGGAAGTGGCTAGAGGAGGAGAGATTATGTTGAGAAAGTAATGAACATTTTATACCTGTGTGAAAATTTTTAGATTGATCATTGATGCCATAATCATAGTTTTCTACTAGTCTCCTCAGTTCACAAGTCTGCCTACAATCCAGTGTGAGTAGATATTTTGTATCTTGGGAAACTGAGCTAGCAAAGAGTGATACTAGGGTAGGAACTTACATTGGTATTGGTATACTAGTAAAAGTTTTATCAAGTAGCTCTCCAAAGACACAAATCCTGCTTTGTGGTAGATGCTAATTTCTATGGTGTAAATACAGTAGCTTCCCAGCCTGGGAAGGTGGCTTATTGGTAGAGTGCTTGCCTAGCACGCATGAAGACCTGGGTTTGATTCCTCACCACCACATAAACAGAAAAAGCTAGAAGTGGTGCAGTGGCTCAAGTGGTAGAATGCTAGCCTCGAGCAAAAGAAGCTCAGGGACAGTGCCCAGGCCCTGAGTTCAAGCCCCAGGACTGGCAAGTAGTAGTAGTAGTAGTAGTAATACAGTAGCTTCCCCAATCCCTTATCCAAAGTTTTGCTTTTCATGGTTTCAGTTGACCACAGTCACTCACTCTGTAGAAAGCTACAGAAACAAACTTTATAGTATATGCCATATTTAGTAGCCTGATGAAGTCTTGTGGTGTCCTGCTCAAGGTGTAATCATCCCCTTATTCAGAGTATTCACGCAATAGACAGCACCCACTCATTAGTCTTAAGAATCTAAGGACGGCCATCAATCAGCTAGGGCATCCATCTGTTTGAGCTCATTTGCCATTGCCAGAGCAGAATGCCTGCGTGTGGGTAATGTATAAAGTTTGTTTTAGCTCACAGTTCTGGAGGCTGGAAGTCCATATCAGGCAGTTACATCTAGTGAGGGCCTTATGTTCCAGACAAGCAGGATAAGCAGAGGGAAGAAGGAAAGCATAAAGAGTGGACTCACTTGCTAACAACCTACTTCTGCTAAACAGAACCTACTCTCATGGAAAGCTATTAGTCAACCTCACTGACCTAATCACCTCTTAGTAGTCCCGCCTCCAACCCTGACAAAACGGCAGTCACGTTTCAACTTGAATTATAGAGGGAACAAACCACATTCAACGGTAGTACCTTCCAAACAACATCTTCATCCATAAAATGGGGTCTTACCCAACTGGTAAACAGCATTTCACTGACAGAAAAACAGTGGCTTTAAAGAGTCAGTGCCCTGTCACCACATCCTGCTCCATGAATCACTACCAGGGAATCTCAAGCAAATTATTTTGCTTTTGTTCCCATCCCCGTAAAACAGAGATATTATAGACTTTAAAGATTAATGAAGAGTAACGGAGATTAATTCTTACAGCACAAATTCTGGAAGGGTATATATTAACATATTAATTATCAGTAGTGTGTGGGATTATAGGTGGTTTCACTTTTTACTTTTTGTCCATCTTTCTTCAGTATTTGCACTGGTAAATGTTCAACAACCAGTTCTCCAAATGAAAAGGCCTGATTCATAGAGTTTTCCTATTCTTGTGGTATAAATGTTCCCATTATGACTGATTTCAGGCTACCACTGTGACACCATAAAATATGAAGCTGGGAAGAGACATTCACAATGGCCCTCAGTAGTTGCTGCAAGCCCACTTGAGCACACCACTGTTTTTGCTTTTGACTGTGCAGTGAATATTTTACTTAGAGATAAATTGAGAGAGAGAGAATACTAATTGAGTAGCTAGCATTGTGCCTAACAGTTAGTTCTGTCTTTTCTCCTTTATCCTCAGCACTTATTAATCTAATCAGATATCACATTGACCTTCAACCTGTAGCTTTGTGAAGTTGGGGAGTGAAGGATCCAAGTTTCCTTACCTTGCTTCCCTATTCCTAGGCTTCTAGATTCTGGACAACCAAAAGAGGAAAGGAATTCTCAAATGGACAAGCAGGCGAGGCCTCTCACATTTTATCTGAAGCATGGTCTGGGTAGACAGATACAGGTTGAAATTGTCCTTAAAGGAAACCAAACTAGAAAAGGGGCTGACGAGGAGGGAACCCATGGGCAGGGGGCCAGTGTTTGACTAGCTTGACTTGACCTTCAGCACAGTAGCACAGCAGATGAATGGGTGGGGAGGGAAGATGAGATGGGCTCTGCAGATCTCTGGAGAATACAGAGGAAAGAGATATAGGATGGTATTCTACAGCCCCTGCCAATGATCATTAGCTATGTCCAGTGAGGGACAGAAATGTATTCCACACCTTGCAGTGTCTCAGCTCACGTACAGGTGAGCAAGACATTTTTGATAATGTTTGGTATGGATGGGAATTTTCACTCTTTGGAAAAGTAGCAGTACTGAGGCTTGAACTTAAGGGTCTTATATTCTTGGTTGGCTTTTTTTTGCCCATGGCCAGCATGCTACCACTTGAGCCACAGCTCCAGTTCTGTTATTATTAATGATTGAGTATCTTTTATCCATTCATAGCTTGGCCTGTTGCAGAGGATACTAAACAGCTCAATAAGTTCTCATTGAGTAAATTAGTGGCTTAGTTCTCACCTGCACATTCCTGGATAGAAATGTGACTTTAAATGAGATGCAAAGCCTTAATAAAGTTTGCCAGTAATTTTAAAATTTCTTCTGCCTTTTCTGTTTTTCTCAATTTTTTTTCATCCTCAAAGAACATGGGTCCTTCTTATTATTTAAAAAATGAATGTTATAGAGGGAAGGGTGACACCATCCAAAAATAAATGTACTCTTTACCTGAATTATATAACTGTAAACCTTCTACACATCACCTTTATAGTAACTTTTTTTTTTATTTGGTCAGGTAGGGCCTGAACTCTGGACCTGGGCGCTGTCCCTCAGCTCTTCAGCTCAAGGATAGCGCTCTACCACTTAAGCCACAGCACCACTTGTGGCTTTTTCTGCTTATGTGATGCTGAGGAATTGAACCCAGGGCCTCTTGCATGGTTGTGGGGCCTGAACTCTGGGCCTGGGCACTGTCCCTCAGCTCTTCAGCTCTACCACTGGAGCCACAGTGCCACTTCTTGCTTTTTCTGCTTATGTGATGCTGAGGAATCGCACTCAGGTCTTCATGCATGCAAGACAAGCACTCTACCACTGAGCCACCTTCCCAGCCCCTATAGTAACAATTAAAAAAAATTTAAATGAATGTTATAAAAAAAATCCACAGATAAAAGTGAATCAAGAGCAGTATCAACAGTTAATGCTCAGTAGGCCATGTGTGTCTTTCTATGAGGTTCTGAACTTCGGGTCCCACAGTCCACACGTGGGTGGGACCCTAAAGCTCATATCTGCATCATGGCTGAGCCCAGCACCAGCCTCTCTACTTGCTGCTTACCAGGCCCTGACTAATGATACTGTCAGGCCCAGGCAGACAGTGACACAGTTCTCAGTCAGAGAAGAAATAGACATTGGTAAACCCTCCAATCTCTGCCCCATCACCCTCTCTCATAGCAAATATGCTGCCTCCATTGCGGAGTGCACAGAAGGGGACAATGCCCCCTCATAAAGCATGTTTCTTAGTTCTTAGTACCCCACATCATGAGGGACCCAGCTCATTCTTCTGGCCTAGGGTCACAGTTGGAGAAACCACCCAATGTAGGGGGGGTTCATGAAAGACACAAGCCAAGTCTGGCATGTAAGGGCACAGGGGTATGGATGGAAGAACTTGTACTCACAACCAAGGAAGCTCAGGAGGTTTGTGACCCAGGTCCCTACATGTCATCAGCTCTTCCATCAGCCTGGTAAGTTCATGGCCATCCTATCCTTAGAGCCCTGAGGACTCACCTAGAGCCAGCCAGCCAAGAAGAGGCAGGTTAAAGGTGCCTCCAGGGCCTCCACCACACAGCAGAGCACTAGGAGATAGATGGGCATTGGTGTCCTCAAAACTGACCTTTTTGTGTTGAGACTGCTTTATTGAGATATAATTCCCACTAAAAGTATGCGATTCAAGGGTTTTTAATATATTCATAGAGATGAGTGGATAGCCCTATTGTAAGTCTTACATTTTCATCTCTCCTCTCCAAATAAACCCCGTATTCTTTGTGTGTGTGTGTGTGTGTGTGTGTGTGTGTGTGTGTGTTCAGTCATGGGGCTTGAACTCTGGGCCTGAGCGCTGTCCCTCAGCTCTTCAGCTCAGGGCTAGTGCTCTACCACTTGAGCTACAGCACCACTTTCGATTTTCTGGTGGTTTATTGGAGATAAGAGTTTCACGGACTTTCCTACCCGGGCTGGCTTTGAACCTCAATCCTCAGATCTCAGCCTCCTGAGTAGCTAGGATTACAGGTGTGAGCCACCAGTACCTGGCAACCCTGTACTCTTTAACCCTCATCCCTCAATCCTTCCAGGCTCCCCAGCTCAAGCCAAGAAGCCCTTAAGTACTTTTTATCTGTGCAGATCTGCCTATTCTGGACATTTCATATCAATGATAGCATCCAGCATGAGACCTTCCGTATCTGGCTCCTTTCATGTAGCATGTTTGCGTTCATCCATGCTGTAGCATGTGCCAGTACTTTTGTTTGTTGTCATGGATGAGTAGTATTCTGCATGTGACATATTTTGTTTTTCCATTCATTGATAGATGGGTATTTGGGCTTCCACATATGACTAATGCTGCTCTGAAAGTTCAAGAAGAAGTTTTTGTGTGGACATACATTTTCTGTTCTCTGGTGAGATGGGAAGACTGTCAGTTTTCCTGAGTGGAATGAGAGATTCTTTCTGAGGCTCATTCTCTTTAGTAGAGATGATTGTCTTTCTTCATGACTTGTGTGGAACACTGCCTTACACCTTCTGAGTCTTCATCGTTTTTCTCAGAACCCCCTGTTTTCCTTTCCCCCACAGATATGCACTTATTTGGCCATTATCCGGCACATGACGACTTCTATCTCGTCGTGTGCAGTGCCTGCAATCAGGTCGTCAAGCCCCAGGTCTTCCAGTCGCACTGCGGTAAGTGGACTCCTGGCAGCCGCCGTTCTGGTGACAGTCGTGCGCCCCTGGGCCCCTAGCAGGGTTGCCCTGTGTCTTTCTTAGCCCATGGCTGTGGGTACACTTGTCCTGGGGTTGCTGCCTCTGTGTGCAGGGTGACCGGTTTAGGAGTTTAGTCCTACTGCAAGAATGCTCAGCCCTGTCAGGACAAATGAGAGGAAATCTAACTTGTCTTGCCATATGGGACTAGACTGAAAGCATTGCCCAGCTGGCGGGGGCTGGGGGGTGCTCTGAGATGGGGAAAGTGCTGGCTTGAGGAAGTGCTCTGCAGCCTGATGTGTACTGCTCCTGAAAGATGACCCATACAGAGGCTCCCCAGGTTTGTACAAAACAGGGCTGAGCCCAAGGCAGCCCAGTATGTGAGTCACTGAGTGCTACCCCAGGAAATGGATGTAGAGAAGGCCTCAGGTTCCATCGTCCTTTTCTTTAAAAATCTAAATGTGTTGGCGAGTTTGCTTTCCCTGTGTCCTGTGCTGGGAATAAGAATTCCCTTTACTCAGCCAACAGCAAACCCTGGACTCCATTCAGAGCAGGCGCCTGGCCATAAGACAGATGAAATCCTTGCAGCCACTCCCCTGCAGGGGCTAGCAAGGCACCCAACCTCAGAGAAGGAGTCACCTAATCTCTCTGGGCAGACGTTTCCTTTTCTCTAAATGAGTGGGACCAGAGGATTTCCAAAGCTATCATTGGGAGCCCAGGACACTGTTTCTCAGTCGCCTTCTTTAAACCATAGCTCCATTGGATGAACATGAATTCTGAATGCCCTGCTTTACTGTTAAAGCTCCAAAAAAAACACTTGATGTTGTACCAAAAAGCAAAAGTAATAAGGCAATTTCAACATTGAATGCACTTTCACAAATCACATGCATTGTTCCTTTCTCCTATTCCTGACTCCTCCCCACCATTAGTTTTTACCATGCTGTAATAAATAGTCGTAAAGGAAAAGAAGAAAATGTACTTGGGACTATTAAATAGTTTATGTATATTGAATGGCATCTGTGGACATATACACATATGTAGATGTACACATATCATATATATCATATACACAGACATTTTATATATACATATGTTTATATATAAAGTCTGTATCTGTGGATATTCTGTGTTTTGTGCTTGGAATATATAGGGAAAGAATCCAGACTCCAGAGACACCTGTTTGAGTTAGTCCAGGACTCTGACCCTCAAGGCAGAGCACTTTACATTGAGCACTGGTGAAGAGGCCAAGTCCTTCTTTGTGTCCTAAGGCCACTTTATTAGTGTCTCAGGGCCCTGAGGAGGTGACCTCTGTGAGTGTGTATGTCCAGCTCTGACATTTTTGTTTCTGGCAGCGTGAGGGTGGAAGGCGTGTATTGGCACAAGTTGACCTTCTTGCTTAGGGCTGTGTGGCAAATGCCGCCTCTTCTGCCTGGAAGAGAGAAAAGGTCAAGCCTCTCCAAAGGGAGCTGGTCAGAGGCCTGGTGTAGTGCCACCAGCTGGGGACAGTTGGGAGGAGGGAGTGGTGCATCAAAAGCAGAGCAGTGGTGAGAACGTCCCACCCAGCTGGTTACTGGGTGAAGAGCTGTGGCTGCTGTGTTGCTTCTGGGTGTTGGGTGAGGATGCAGCCACTAACTCATTCCCATTCCATATCCATTCACTCACTCACAGGGCTCTGCTCCTTTCTGGGCACCCAAATACAAGTTATCCAGAGAAAATTCAGCCCACATGGAGTTTGTTCTAGTGTAAACCACCAAAGGCTTCCCCCGAAACTTAGTCAACAGCAGTTTTTGTTGAAAGGATCCTAAAAGGGACTGGGTCCCCACTGCCATCCAGAATCTGCCAAGGGCAAGGACTTTCTCACCAGCCAAGGAATCGCTGACACACAGGCTGACACACAGAACTCTCTAAAGCTTTTGGTGCCAAAGCCAGTCTCTAGCTTAGGAGAGATCCAGTGGTATTGTGGCCACCTGCTCCAAATGGTGTTAGCAAATTAGTTTGGGGCTTTGGGGTTACTGACCTCATCACTTGAAGCCTGATGTCCACTGAGCTTCTCACTGAGCCAGCCAACACACCACAGCTCAGCACACCAAGCAGTCTTCCAGGTGTGGGTCTCGGTCATACAAAGTTCACCAGGGCCTAGAGAAGATGCAAGGTGGAACGCAGAACCATCACAGCTCTTCGGGGCAGTGTTTTTTTAACTGTCCTAAGAATTCCTCCTATAATTTCTTAATTGTCTTCACTGAGGCTACTGTAACAAAATACCATAGACTGGGATACTTGAAACACCAGGCATTGGTTTCTCACAGTCCTGGAGGCTGGAAATCTGAGCTCAGGGTGCCCGCATGTTGAGTTCTGGTGAGAATGATCTTCTGGATCATGGATAGGCAACTTCTTACCCTATCTTCCTGTGGCAGAAAGAGGGCAGGAGAGCTCTCTGAGATCTCTAATCTGATTCTTAAGAATTCCATCCTCAAGACGTGATCACCCCTGAAGGGTCCACTCCTAGACCCATCATATTGAGTGTCAGAATTCTGACTTGTGAGTTTGCAGAGACCGGGACACAAGTATGCAGTCCTTCATCGTATTTCTGTGATGGGGATGTAGCTCAGTGCTAGAGCATTTGCCTAACACACATGAAGTTTTGGTGTCTACCTTGTATGACAAGCCTTGATCTTTTTAGGAAGTCAGTAAAAATGCTAAGTCCCAGGCAATGTGCAGCATGCTATGCATATCTCTGAGTACTGTAATCCTATCAAAAGCCCTAGAAAATGGGTGTGCATATTAGACTCATTTGGAAGTTGAAGAAGACTAGGCTTGGACAGTTAATGCCAAGCCCACAGCAAGGTCTGGAGCCTGGTTTTGAATTCAGGCATGTCTAGAGTGAGGCCAGTACCTGCCTGGCCAGTCTCCCCACTGCCTGTCTGTGTGGATCTCCAAACTATAAATAAATACAGGGTGTAGGCAGTCGGGTTGAAACCTACTGATCCCCCCCCCCATCCCTTCTAGCCCCATAGCCAGGGCGCTATAGCTGTCACTTGATGTGTATTGCTCTAGTGGAGATGACATGGCTTTGGTGATGAACAGATTTCCACACTAACTGTGTGACCTAGTGCATGTCACACCTTCTTTTTCTGAACTGGTTTGCTCTGCCTGCCTCCTGGGGTTTAGGGTTAACATGACTGGTATGAGACCCTTCCTCTCCCCTTCTCTCCAGCTGGGTAGAATTCTTCCCTCATAATATCCACAGAACTAAAAGTGTGTGTGTGTGTGTGTGTGTGTGTGTGTGTGTGTGTGTGTGTGTGTGTGTACAGTCAGTTGTGGAGACTCTTCTGACCCCAAATATGTGGGATTTTTATACCAACAGTTCCTGCCAACACCACCTGGGTGTCCTATGATTCAATTTGACTCTGACACTAACCATTCAGAGTTAGCACAATCCCTACAGGTTAAATTTCAGCTCCACCAAAGTGATTCTGCTTCACATGCCTGTCAATCCCAGGCAGCAGTCCTGGTAACCATACTCCTGCCTGATGTGGCTACAAAGCAGGGATCCTACAACCCCTCCTCCGGGTCAATAAATTGATTGCATGACTCACAGACCTCAGGGAGGCTTTCTGTTGTATTATAATTAGTAGTAGTAGTAGTAGTTGTTGTTGTTGTTGTTGTATAATTAATAATAGTATTTATATAAAGGATGCAAATGGTAAGTTCCAGAGGGCTCTGAACACAGGCACTTCTGTCCCTTATTATGAAGTGAATTAGAAGTATACTTCCAACACATGGATACATTCACCCATCTTGGGGATTCTGCCTTTTGGGGTATTTGGAAAGTTCCATTGAATAGGCATGATTGATTGAAGTACAGGCCATTGGTGACCAACTCAATTTCTGTATCAGCTGGAACCAAACTTTCCAATCCTCTAGCTTTATCTTGGTCTTTCTGGATACCAATCCCCAATCTGAACATACCCGAGAACTTGGCCATCAGTCACCTCTTCAGTATACAAAAGGGCTTCTAGGATCTCAGAAGCCCTGTCTGGAAACTGGGAACTAAGATCAACCATCACAAAAGATACTTCATTCGCAGTCTCTCAGGACATTACAAAGACTTAGCAGCTCTGTGCCAGGACTTGGGGACAAAGAAGATTAAGGAAAAACAAAAACAAAAACACCTAACCATTTCCTAGCTGTGTGACCTTGGGCTAATCACACGACCTTTTGAGCCTCATTTTCCTCATGTGTGCAATAAGAATGCCAGTTTCTGCCTGGCGGAGTTATTGTGAGAAAGTCCACATAGTGTGCTGGCTCGCTGGAAAGGAAATAAAGAGAGTAGCTATTATTGTCAATAAAATGTGGCTTTTTTTTATTAAGTTGAAAGTTTCTTATAAAAAATGAGAAACCACTTTAGTCAACTGCTTCCTGTCTTCGTTCTTGTGTCTCAGGGGACACGCACCGAGGTCAGCCTGTGGACTCTTACCGGTGATTCACTTTGGCTTCCCATATTGGCAGGCAGAGTGTGATTACATCTGCCCCGAGTGCTGAGGATTTGGCTTTGCAAATATTGGTGTACATTCCCATTAGGCCCCAGTGTCAGCACCTTCAGAAACGCCATGGTGCTCCAGTATCACGTAGGTTCCCAGCAATGCCGCCTTGTCCCAGGACTGGCCAAGTCCCTCTGTTCCTGACTCTGTGCCCAAGCTGGTGCTGCAGACACAGTCACTGCCTGGAAACCCATTTGCTTGGTGTACAGATGGAGCCACGCACAGTCTGGGCCACACACACCTGTGCTGGCCTGCTTGGATCTGCTTCTGAGTTCGTACCCAGAGCTTTTTAGGATGCTTTGCAAGCTTTTGCCCATAAGACCTGGGGTTTTATGAGATCTGTTTGTTTACAAAGTTCTGTAGGTGAATTGATAAGGTCAGGATAATTGTAGAAAGAAGGGAACAAGGATTCCCAATTCCACTCAGCAGGAACCTCTGTCC